CTGCATGGAAGAACAGGGAAGAAAATGTAGTTTAGTTGGAAAGACGATTCTTTCCAAGTTTCTGCTCTCTTCTTATTCTCTAGCAGCCCCCGAACTCTCTGTAAAATACAATCAAAAGTTGTGTTAAAAAAAAAAAAAAAATTCCAGTTTGAAACAAATTGCATTAGATTTGGGCCGAACAATTGCAGTGGTAGTTCTAGTTCTTAAAACAATCCCGATAGTAGTAGAAGTTTTGGTCATGTAGTTAAGGAAACTTTTTACATCATTGTACTAATTTAAATTCCTTTATTTGTGAAGGCTGGGTTTGGTGAGTGTCAAACAGCATATTCTTGGTGTGTGTGTTTTTAAATAAACTTTGGTTTAGTTTTCAAAAAAGCAAAATTACAGAGTAGTGGATTGGTATTTAATCTCTTGTCGTGGGGTTGTCTTTTTCAGTCGTTTTTATTACAACTGAAGAAACAGATAAGGGCTTCAGCCTAAAGCAGGAAGACTTTCAATTAGTTGTGGCTAATTCTGTTCAATTGCCTCTTGTGGAGGTCATGCTGCCTTATTCATGGAACATGAATGGCTCTATTGACAACATATGGAACTGAACATTTGAATGACTGGAGGTGAACACCTTTGAATAATACAGGGATGAGAAAAAGAATGAATATCATGCTTCCTGGGGTGTGTTTAGATATGCTTGGATCTTTAACCAAATCTAACTTACATTCAGTAGTATTTTCTCAAAGTCCAGTGGCCTATTGGATCCTTCTAGCGTGCAACATATTTTTTTGTGAGTTTGGATGTCTTTAAAAAATAAGTGAATTGCTCTTGATTAGAAGTTGAGTTAAACCGAAAGGGGTTTGATCCGTATTTAAACGTTGTCTTAAAAGTAGCTGACCTAATTAGGATTTTGTTTTGCAGATAATTTGGTGGCACACTAAAAACAAACTACAGTTGATTTGGTTAGCACAGTCTTTAATTACGTTTCCGCCAGCAGTAAATTGTCTCAATGCAGGTCCACATTCCTTAAATGTACGTGAAAATAAGTTCCACTTGTATAAATAAGCACTGGGTCTGTTGTCAGAAGCCCCGCTGTGATTACCCATTGGACAGCTCTATCATTCTTGTACTTCTGTGACTTTGAGCCATCTTTGCAAGTGTCACCAAACCATGTGGACTAAATTCTTCATTGTAAATATTTCTTTTGCTTGTTCCTAAAGCTTTAGAAGTCTCTTCACCTTTTAAAAGAGCAGAAGAACATGCAAATTGAGTTTTACCTTCCCTGTTACTTGGCATTTGGAACAGCAGGCTTAACATAGCTGCTGTTTAAACGTTTTACATAATTAGACCAGCTTTTAAGTAGACTCTTTGTTTCAGAGTTCAAACTTAAGTAGAGAAATGCATATTATTCTTCACCCATATCCTAACTTCCCTTTCCTCGGATAATTAAAATAGTAAAATTTTGTCTTTGGAGTAGTTTTATTAGTTTTGCCACTTGTTGAATTTGCAAGTAAAAAAAAAAACTCTGTTCTATGATAACGTGTGTGCATGCATTTTTTCCGTTTTATTCAGCTATAATTTATTGCCATAGGAACCCACGTGGGAAAAGTTGAATAGTTTGACTGAGCTGTAAAATAATAATACTATACTTGGTGTTCATTTCGTGAAGTAACCTCTAATACTTTAATGAAAGGGGCTTTTCAAACAGTTAACTATTTGAAGAAGCATTGCTCATAACTGCCTTTAGAGGTAGACTTGAGTTTACATCTAGAGTTTGTGCTTTCAAAGAGTTTTGAACCTAAGGAGAAGTGCTTGTTAGAATTTATGTCACTTAGCCAAAAGAGGGAAAAGTTGCTCAATTGCTAGCGAGAGCTTCGAGTATCATTAAATTCTCACTGGAATTTCAGATTTACCTTATCACCTAGAAACGTTTTGAGTTCTCAACAGGGCTTAGGCGGAAGTCCGAAAGGTAGTTTCAGCTGGCTGGTGTGACTTCTTTATTGTTGGCTTGTTGTAAATCCTCTGGTCTGTACCAGAATTGGGGGTGGGGTGGGGGTAATAGTCCTTATGGTTTTCACAGCTGCTTTTCTGTATTTTCCAGACTAAAACTTGAACATAGCCGGCTGATTTATGAGTCAGTTTGGATCAGTGTCTTAAAACAGCTACAGCCTGGCTTTTTGCTTTTCAACCTTCCAGATTTGTGCTGAATTAGCAGCTCTGCAGGCCCCACTGGGATTGATTAAGAAGCTGTGCTGGATTTGCATTTTAAAATTTGACTTGGAAGTCAGATTTCCACATGCTAAGAGGAAGAAAATGATAGCTGGAACCAAATGCTATAAATTACTTATGTTCATATATATTTATTCTCTTGCTAGTATGTAGGAAGAGAGACTTTAGAGTGTTTGATTTTCAAGTATTTGGTCACCTGAGTTCTGGATAAGTAGTTAACACCTCTCTGTCTCACCACGCTTCCCATTTATTAATCTCCCTAAAAAAAAAAAGCTTCCTGGGGAAGATGTTCATTAATGAAAATCTCAAAATGAAGAATCTGCCTTCCTTATTGAATGTTTTGTGTTCTTAGGGGCTTAAGAAAACATTGACATTGTACAACTTGAATCTGTTTTTAATGATGTAGGCATAAAAACAATATAGGAAGATTTAAGAAAACGTGATACCCTATAACAGAGAAGTAATCATTTCTGAAAGGTAAATTGTATTAAATCTAAACTTAGGTACATTAAAAAATCATGACTTTAAAGTATTTAGCAGTAAAAATAACTTACGGGGTGATTTTTTTTTTTTTCTTTTTTCCTTCTCCCTCCCGTATAATGTGCTTTTAATAGTACACAAAACTCGGGAATGGAAATGGGTTGCAATAACGGAAATATTTAAGGTTGCCAGCTCCTGCTTCTGGGTCACAAATGACTGGTCCCCAGCACGTGCACTCTTCTCCAAAGGCAGTTGCGCATTTTAAAGGTCTCTTGGTGGGGATCTCGTCCAGTTACTGGTTGAGAAAAAAAAATGTCCAGCACTCACTATCATTTCTCACAAGATTGCCTCATGAAACAACGGTTAAAATGATGAGCGTGATTTTATTTTTTTAGGTAAAAAGAAAATCACGTATATTAAATGTAAATGCCAGATTGGTTCCCACTTTCCTTTTAAAACTTAAAATAATAAATAGGGGACACAGTTTTATGTTGGTTAAATGCCCTTTAGTCAAGTTGGCCCAGAGAAGACTTTCTGTTGACCCAGGCTTACCTCCAGGTGAAGGGCTGTCTGCCTTGGTTGTTTTAAACCACGTGGGAAATCTGGGACTGTCTGTGGTGCTAAAAGCACACAGGTTTTTTTGGAAACCTAACGTGAATTGTTGGACTCACGGTTTCCTTGATGAACTCCAGATGGACGTGAGCTGGGCTGTGAGGGAAAGTGTCTGGCTCCAGTGTGGTGAGCATGCACAGCAGTGGTTGTAATTGCAGGATTTTTATAGTTTAAAGACTGTGCCAGCTTTTTTTTTTTCATGTTATAACTCTACCAGAACAGATCTACTCATGTCTCTCCCTGTCTGGTAGGTCTTTAGGCAAACATGTTTCAAATAAAACCTTTTGCAGATTTTTTTGCTTTGTTTTCTTTTTTAGGTGAAATAGAGAAATCCAGGTTGGTTCTCAAAACAAAAATTTGAAGACTGAAAAGATCTCTCGTTTCTCATTTCTAATTGTTCACTAATAGGCTTGCCTTCAGAACAGTGTGCTTCTCTGGATGTGATTTCACTGTCCTTCACCCCTTTTTTTGCATATGTCACAAATGATTCATGCTTTTCTCCAATCAACTTTGGTTATCTGGATAGTTAATCTTCATTTTTAAACACTGAATTAATTAATTTAGTAATTAGTGCTTCACCGTATTTGGCGGGGAGCTTTGAAGAACACTGTGTGTTAGCCTAGCTTTCAGTAGCTATGCAGCCACTGCATTTTCATTACACCATTTTGAAGGCCCATATCGACTGTACTGACACATATGGGGAATATAACCAAGCATATTTGCCATATTTTGTGTCTTAAATGCCGAGATGACTTTCTAGCCTCAAGTATTGTAGGTAGGAGGTATATATATATATATATATTTTTTTTTTTTAATAACAACTGTGTCCTATGGAGATTGTTACTAGGGTAGAGTGAGTAGGACACAGATTTATTTTAATGACTGGGGGGAAAAAAAACCTGTTTACGGGTTGCTTTCTAGTCTGTTTAGCGTTGTTAGGTAGTTGATGTGGTTTAAATTATACATTATATTACCAGGTATTGGGATTTGGGGAATTAAGGAAATAGAAGGTTAAAGTTTTCTGCAGAACACACACACACAGACACACGCACACACAGAGTAAATATTTGGTGCCTTAACCCAGAGAAACAAATACGTGTGAAAAGCAATTTCTGTTTTGTTGGACTGTAATAAGGGCATTGATGCTTAATTTTATGATAATAAAAAGGTTTCTTTAGAGACTTCAGTTTCAGCAACCTACCTAACTGGCTACTTTTGGTAAGCC